GTCCTGTAGAAGTGTTCGATTAACAATCGATTGATGATATCTGAGATTTAATTTCGTCTTATTGCGTATTAAATGTAGTACTAATCATCCAAAATTTCATTTTTAAAGTTTAGGTTATTCTATTTGACTGACTGTTGTAGTGATTTACTGCTTTCCTTAATTTACTTCTTCAAGTGATGAGGTTGTATGCTTAATGCTGTTAATAAATGATCTTAAGTCTGTAAGATCATTTATAAGTATAATTGAACAGCCAAGATGACATTTGCTTTATCCATGTCTTTCTTATTAGATTTAGAACTCAGAAACCAGATAATTATACACTAATGTTCCTTCAACTTTAAGCCAATAAAAATTGAATTATTTGGTTCTTGTAGGATGACATGGCTATAGCAGGAGCAAAAGTGTCAGAAGATTGGATTATTGAAACATTCAATAACGATGAAGAGGCGCTAGATGCAGTTGACAATGGCACTGTGGTGGGTACTAACAGGTGCTTTATGCTTGTCATTGTTAATCTTCTTGTATCCTTCACATTATAATGTTTTATACATTTTTCAGAGTAATTTTACTTTTTCCATTGTTTGCAGGTTGTTGATCTTTCCCATTATGGTAGAATAAGAGGTAAACTTTCACACAATGTTTCTATACATATTTTCATAATCTCTCAGAATTAATTATGTAGTATTCGAATTTCCAAATTTCTATTGATACACAGTGAGTGGAGAAGATCGCATACCATTTCTTCACAACCAAAGTACTGCAAACTTTGAAGCACTTTCTGAAGGAGGGGTAAGTCAGTCTTTTTGTTACTTTGTCTAATCTTGGTGTTGATTATTTTAAAACTGAATCTTGTAGGGATGTGACACTGTCTTTGTTACTCCAACTGCTAGAACAATTGACATTGCACAAGCATGGATCATGGTAATTTAATTAATCCCAAAAATGTCGTATTACTTGATTAAAAAAAGTTGCTTTATAAATCTCACAAGTGTTTCTATTTTGTAGAAAACAGCAGTTACCCTAGTTGTATCACCATCGACAAGTAAAAGTATCAGTGAAATGCTCAAAAAGTAAGTTTTTTGACTCATTTTATAACCGAATGTAACCAACTTTTTTGACAGTTAATACATAAACAACTTTTTTGAATTATTGCTTTGCATATAAAATTTAGGTACATATTTTTTGCTGACAAGGTTGAAATTCAAGACATTAGTAACAAGACTTGCTTATTTGCATTAATTGGACCAAAAAGCAATCAAGTATGGTTTCCATGAACTTCAACTTTAATTGTTTTTATTTTTATTTTTTTAATTGCATTATTTATCTTCTCAAAGTGCAATGATTTTAATAATTCTGTAAATGGTATTTTGATAGGTAATGGTGGATTTGAATCTTGGTGATCTTATTGGACAACCTTATGGCTCACATAAGCATTACAACGTAAGTTATTATTTCTGTATGCAGTTTTATTAAAGTAATAACAAAATTATTATTTTGCTAAAATTAGTGACTATTTAGTTGGAGAATTTATTTAAAAAGTTTAAAATTCCAGGTCAGCGGTAATCCAGTAACTGTGGCAGTGGGAAGTGTGATCTCTGAAGAAGGTTTCTCACTGATGATGTCACCATCAGCTGCAGGAATGGTTTGGAAAACTCTTTTAAGTCACAATGCAACTCCAATGGGTTCAAATGCATTTGAAACATATCGAATTCTTCAAGGTCAAATAAAAAAATAGCAACTTATTTTCATAATTAAAAAAATAAATTAAAAGTACAATGCTATAATTGGATAGATTCCTCAAATGTACAGGAAGGCCAACACCTGGTAATGAGCTTACCGATGAGTTTAATGTTCTGGAGGCAGGTCTTTGGAATGCAGTGTCTTTAAACAAAGGTAATAAATATTTTATATTTTTTCTTTTAATATTTTATTAAAAAGTAAAAAGTAAAAAATCGTATCAGGTTGTTACAAGGGGCAAGAAACCATATCCAGATTAATCACATACGATGGCATAAAACAAAAGTTATGGGGCATTCAACTTTCATCCCCAGTGAAACCCGGTACTCCAATTACAGTTGAAGGAAAGAAGGTATAATTTATTTATTTATTTTTAATTAAAAACTAAAAATAAAGAAACCAAGATATGTTATAATATGTTTTTTTTGTAGGTAGGAAAGTTGACAAGTTATACGGGTGGAAAAGGGGGAAATGAGTATTTTGGTTTAGGGTATATCAAGAGAAAAGCTGCTTCAAAAGGGGACAAAGTTATTGTTGGAGATGATGTTTTTGGGACAGTTGTGGAAGTTCCTTATCTTGCACAACAGAAGCCATTGGCGTTGAGTTCAAAATCTTAGTATGGATTAAAAAAGAAACAGTGTTTGTTCATAAACACTTTATCCAATCCTTAACTTCCTAACATCCTTTACTGGAAAGTATAATTTTTCGTATACTCACTTTTAACTTCTATTATCTTTGAATCAGAACCATATCATTTATACAATTGAGAATCGTATGATGACATTATCAATGTAAATTCTGAAACATAATTGAAGAAGGAAAACCGGATATACAACTATTTGAGTTAAGACACTCCTCATCACTTAACTCAAAAACCATTCATTTTAAAAAGACAAAATGTGTAAATATACTGTAGTCTATACCTTACATTCAAAGCTAAACCTCTAATAAACTTGGGAAAATGATGCCATAGCATATGAAAGTTTTGGTATTTGTCAAATTTGGCCACTAAAGATTTTTTTGGTACATTAGACCACTGAACTCCATTTTCACCTTTAATTACACCATTATTCAAAAAATTAGATGGTTTATCTGTTCCAATAGTTATGTGGCTGGGTGATGTGTCCAATAAGCTTATTTGTAACACGTATGTGGAATATTGATGTGTTGAAGAAGCTAACTCGTCCAATAACCTTTATTAATTGAAACCATGAATCAAATGATTATTCAAATGTTACTTACCCTTTTGTGGGAAGTCAAATCCTCTCCGCCGACTCTTGCCATCCTCAAGAACAATGTCTTTCAGTTTGTCCACTTCAAGGAATCAGCTACAAGTGACTTGTGTTCAAGTGCGAGAAGGGGTAAAGCTTTGCGATTGTAACGTTCTAGCTAAAGAACTGAAGAACGAACATGTTGGAAGATAACAAACCCTGGAAGGTGTTTCTGGAATTGTCAAAACAGTTTGGTAGGTCCCGATAATCCTGATCATGCTACTTTCGTATTTTAGGGTTTGATTGTAGTGTTTCTTTGTGAAAAGCCGATCATGCTAGATTTGTATTTTGAAAAAAACCCTAAATTTATTTTCTTCTTGAGGAATCTTTGTGATCGTGAATCAAACCCATTCGTTAATACATTAAAGGCAACTGATTTCCTTAATTTTATTTACTATCTAAATCAAAACATTTTCATTTTTTAATGGATTGGCTATTTACAGACTAGGCTCAAGAAATGTAACTTCTTTGAATGGAAAGACGATGAATAGGAACAAGGGTGCTACAAAAACCTTCTATATTCTCTGAAACAAAAATTGGATGCTAAAGAGGATTTATCTGAGATGAACAATTTGAGGACAATGATTGCTGAAGTTGAGTTCCTGCTGTCACAAGAGAAGTGTAAGGTGTCAAAGAGTGAGAAAGATGTTTTTGATTCAAGGAAGGCAATAGGTAGATACAAGATGATAGTTGCATTGTTGTTTGCTGGCTTGGTATTTTGTGTTTTGATGTTAGGGAGTGATTGTAGTTAGTTAGGGGGTTGGTGTAAGCCTTTGTATGCCTTTGTAAAGGCATACTAGAAAAATCAGTAATGATTGGCATTTTGTATGTTTGGAAGCTGCTTTTAGTTTGAATTTGGAGGTGTCAACCTTGGTGTGTTGATGTTGTAAGCTGGTAAGTCCCTAATGAATGAGCATTTTATAACTATTGTAAAGCCAGATTGAAACTCCTAATTGTAGGGCATTTTATATAATCAGATGTTGGAAATGTTTATGTTATTGAAACATGCATGGCTTGTTTTCCTTTTATTATATATAATTAAATTGATTGCAGTGCATGGTATTATATTGAGAATAAAGTAGAAAGTGGTCCATGTGAAAGTACACTATGTATGGGGACCATTTTCAGTTAATAGCCAGTGGATGTTTTTTTAATGGAAAAATGGGACCTTTCAATCCATTAAGAACCATATCCAGGACCATATAACATATTCACATGCATGCACATTATTCCAAATTTTCCATGCAGAAATATACAAAGACATCTGTCGTAAAGACCACCTTCATCACATTCACATGTATGCACAAAATACCCTTTTATGTCATGACTTTACTTAAAAAGACAACATACTTTTATAAGGGACCAAAATATCCTTTCATGTCATTAAATTTACTTAAAAAGGAACCATACTTTCATAAGTGACCAAAATACCCTTTTATGTCATTAGTTTACTTAAAAAGAAACATAGTTTCATAACTAAAATACCCTTTTATGTCATGCGTTAATTAAAAAAGGAAACATACATTCATAAGTGACCAAAATATCATTTTATGTCATTAATTTACATACAAAATGCAATATACTTTAAAAGTTCACTCTAAAACTTTACCGAACTACCCTTTCCATCCTTAATTTACTAATAACAACAACATGGAATAAAAATGACCAACATAACCTTTTCACATCACATGTAATAACAAAGACAATTACCTTAAACTCAAACAACAATCTAGATACAAATACATTAAACTCAAATGAAAATTACTATCATCCTAATACACATACATTAAATCCAAATAGCACAAAGAAAATTCAACACTAATCAATTAGAAGAGCTTTTCCCTTAGAATTTCTTGGATCATTAACACCACCAATTTTCTTGCCTAATTTCAACTTCAAGATTCTCTCTGACTTTCTTATCCTTATCTTCTTCAAAATCCCTGAAATTGGTTTAACTCTACCCTATTGAACCTGGACAATAGGAACAACCTCCTAAATTTGAACATTAGCAACAACTTTGATGTTAGGAATAACCTCATCAACTTGAACATTAGCACCAACAACCTCCTCACCCACAACACCCTCCTCAGCATCAACAACCTCCTCACCCACAACACCCTCCTCACCTTCATAACTTTTAGGCGGAGTAACTTGTATATACTGACTAAAATCCCATGAGCTACTGGATTCAACTTCATTAGGAGTAGCTTGCATAACATTTTGAGTAGTATCCATCTCAATTAGAGTCATTTCAACCTCTTCATGTTGTTGAGGTTCGCTTCTACTACCCGACATGACATGATATAATAATGTTAGTGGAAAATCATATGTAAATAAATTTAAATTTGAAATGGTTTTACCTGTCCTGCATTCTGCTTCACACAAACTTTTTGTTTCTTCACATTTAACTTTTAGGGTATTCTCTCTGGACATGTGGCCTTTTTGTGACTTATCTCCTTGCATATACTACATCTTATTTTCTTTCTAGCCTTAGAAACCCTGTGCTTTCCTTTATTCTCTATAGTAGATTTCTTCTTGTTAGTAGTTGGCCCACCAGGCATACTTCTACTAATAAGAGGCAATGATGGAGTATAATTTGTCTATGGCCACATTTCATTGCCATTCATGGGGGCAATTATGTAACTATATGCATTCTTAAATGTGGTGGTGCTATACATGTTGTCTACATAGGCTTCTACATCCCTATTATGATAGGATATGATAGCTATAAAATGAGCACATCCATATCTATTCAATTACCACAACCTACAGGAACGTGTTTTCCTTTCTAAGTCTACCTCATATGCATCTATTTCTCCCTAACCTGAAACTAGTTTAATCTACTAGATAGTATTTGATAATACCTCTGAGTTTTTTAAGCAAATTCACCTTATCCCTTATCTCTAGACAAATATGATTTCCCCATTGTTGTCCCTTTAATTCGATGTTGTACAATTTTCCATCATGTACAATCTTAACTCCTCTAACATGGTGATTATGGGCTTTTTCCTGGCATCTACTATTATAACATTAAAACTTTCAAAGAATCCATTTTCAACTGCATCACAACACCTATCAGGTTGAAAGAAATCTCTTAACCAGGTATTTGGATCTTTCTCCATGAGATATTAATGGGCATTTGGGTTCAATGTCTCAATTTCCTTAATCACAACTTTAAAAGCATGCTTAGTTGTAGATTTAAATGCTCTCCAAAACAAGGTATGATATATGACACCAATGAATATCTTCTACAAATATGTCTAGCATACTGCCTATGCTCTATATATGGAAGCAATTCTTTAACATCCTCTATCAAACCCTGTATTAATAAGAAGGTTTAAATCAATTTGTTTAAAATAAATATACATGAATTACTATGTAAAATACTAACCTTATGTTGGTATGCCATTAAACTGAATCCATTGCCTAAATTCAAGTTTAGATCATCAATGAGAATTTCCAAAAACCACTTCCAATTCTACTTGTTCTTCAGACTAACCACTGCCCAAGCAAAAGGATATATCTTTTCATTTGCATCCATCCAAATTGCACAAAGCAATTACCCCTTACAAACACCTTTCAAAAAACATCCATCAAGACCTATTGTTCTTCTACACCCTTCCATCTAACCTTGTTGAACTCCTTGAAAACAAACATAGAACTTGCTAAAATATTTCTTTCCATCTGGACCATCCTCCACATCTAGTTTCACAGTTGACCCAGGATTTGTCCTCAAAATCTCATGCCCATATGACCATAACTTACCATAATCTTCAACAAGACTACCTTTAATAAGATTCGGTGCATACTTCTTTGCTGTCCTACAATGACCCATACTAACTTGGATACCAAACCTGGTCATTACCTTTACTCTAATCTTCTTTACACTTAATTTTTTGACTATGTGCAATCTCTTTGGTATCGTGACTCCCAATCCATGCATATGCCATCAGTGATCCAAACTTGAAGTTCCTAGCACAATTATGATTAGCTTTTAGTGACTTGATTTGAAAACTCTCTTCATCACTCATCCAAGAAGCCCATAATCTAAATGTGCAAGAAACCTTACTACACCTCACCAAAAGTCTTTTTCCTATCATTTTTTAAAAACACAGTTGATATCCATTAGCCACAACATAGTTGCACAACATTGATTTTACTTGTCCTGTACCTTTAAATCTCATTCCTAGAATTGGTTTTTGTTTTTTCATTGTAATAACTCATTAAATATGGAATAAGTTTGGATGTTAGGTTCAAATTCTCTTCCATGATCATCATCTACAATATTGTTATCCTCCTCATCATCAACACATAGCTTACTCAAGAAAGGATCCTGTCCTATTCATATGCCTTACATCCACATTAAATTCAAACTCAACATTCCTAAGTTCATCCATGTTATCTTCATTTTCACGATCAATACAAGACTCACGTCCATCATCATCATCATTATCTTCATCATCAAACCACCCATCAACACCAACCCCAATATGATCCACATAAACAGAAAATTATACCATATGTTCCATAAGCATCATGTAACACTCGTTTCAGGTATCAATTTCTATTCGGAATTTTAGGGTTTTAGACTGGGACTCGACGAGTTGGGGAGCTCCAACATGTCGAGTAGAGTTCTTTTGTGGGACGCGGGATCTAGGACCTACACGACGAGTTGGAAGGCCCAAATTGACAAGTAGGGGCTGTAAAGGAAAAAACCCTAATTTTAGGGTTTGCACCTTATATAATCTCCTTACAACTTTGAGGCTGACCTTTCATCAGTCTCCAAACCCTAAGAACATCTCTGCTAAACCCTAATGACTATTTCCCCTCATATTGTGAGCTAGAGTGACCTTTGAAGCTTAAGAAGAAAAGACATGTAACGCTCTGTCCCGAATTGACTCCTAGTCTGAGACTGTGGCTCGAAGGTCGGTCATTATAAGGATTATGGATTTTGGGAAGGTAAAATCTATGCCCATTTGGGTGCGGGTGATGTATTATAAGTGATCAGGTGTTCGGTTCGTGTCTCGGAGCCTAGGGGTATTTCGGTAAAGTGGCAGTTCGAGCTTTTGTGGAAAATGGATTTTTGTTTGGAAGGTTTTAAGAAAGGTTTGAGTTTTTAGAAGTGTAGGGCTTCTCGTCACCTTTCCGTGGAAATAAGGATTGTCGGAATCGGGCTTATAACGAAGAAGTTATGGCCTTCAGAAGTTTCGTGGGTTTTCAGGCTTAGCCGAGTACACGGGGCATACACAAAGTGCACGCGAGGCGTACTAGTGATGAAGGTAGTATGCTGGCCGTACCTTGGAGTACGCTGGGCATACTGAACAGGATGGTCACGAATGTTCCCGAAGTACGCTGGGCGTACTCCAGTCAGATCAGAACCTTATTTTAGGGTCTTGGACCCTATTTAAGCTCCTTATCTCACAATCTAACCCTAATATCTTCATCCTCAACCACTCTAAACCCTAAAAATCGTCATATATCATCCATGGTGGCATTTTGAGCTTATGGAGTCCATTTTTTGGGGTGTTTAATCCATTTTCAAGAAGATGGAGTTTGATGTAAAGATGGGAATCAAGGAGGAGCTTATGGAACTGGATTTTAGGACTCATTCTCAACTTGATGAAGGTATAAAGCTTTAAACTTGATCATTCATCTCTTATATCTACCGTTTTTGGGTTTTGGTTTCTTTTTTGTCCCAAGGTTGAAGCTTTATGGTTCAAATTCGCTTCTTAGACTTGGGGTAGCCACCCTTGATGCTATTTAAGGTATAAAGTTGCCATCTTGGAGGTCTTTATGGGTTCACTCAAGAGTTATGGTCATTTTCATGGAAGTAGATTGTTATACTTTGATTTTGGGTTCATGTGGGTCATATAAGTCATCAAGTCAGTGACTTTATGGATTAAGACGTTGAAAAGGAATTGGATCTGTGATTGTAGCTTTTAGAGTAGAGTATTAAGCACTTAATGGGAAAGTGGCTTAACAGGGGAGTAAACTGAGTGTACATGAAGGTACGCCCAACTTACAGATCGTTTGGCTAGTACGCTTAGCGTACATAGGAGTACACCCAACGTACTCATTAGATATGGGCCTTATGAGTTTTGGGCCTCGGGTTGGACCAAGCAGAGAAATTCGGGCCTTTAGGACTTAGTGGACCATCAGAGGTTAGATGTTTTGGGCAAGAAATATATTTGGGCTTAGGGTAAGTGAAACATACAAAAAAATACAAGCCAAAAATTTCGTTTGAAAACATTACTAAAACCATAATATCAAAATACCATATAATAAAACCATAAGTCGTGTGTCTCAAAATGTCATAAAATATGTCTCATATCACAACTGATGTCAAATCATATCAAAAATACCAGAGTCTAACTCCCAGGCTAAAACTATGGTGGGTGCCATGCCATCAACCTGAGCCCTTCCCCCTTGCTAGCATAAGTACCTGAAACCAAAACTGAAACTGTAAGCACGAAGCTTAGTGAGCTTCCCCAAACTACCACATACCATACAATAATATATAAAGCACCCAATGGGCCTTGCCCACTGCATCAGACCGAAGTCCGGAACTAACTATGGCCTCGCCCTCTACATCGGACCGGAGTTTGGAACTGGCTGGGGCCTTCCCCCTACATCGGACTGAAGTCCGAAACTGACTAAGGCCTCGACCTCTGCATCATACCGATGTTCGGAACTGACTGGGGGCCTTACCCCCTGCATCGGACCGAAGTCCGGAACTAACTGGGGCCTTGCCCCCTGCATCGGACCGAAGTCCGGAACTGACTGGATATAGCATAACATAAGAATAGCATATGACAATAACACATATATTGCATACTGCATCAGGCCGCAACCCGAAACACATAACACTTAGACATGCTTGAATCACAAAGACATCAAGCATACTGTACTACTTCTCGGGACCACCCCGACATCGGACCACCGTCCGGAACTACTACTATCTAAACGGGCCGACATTGTGGCCGTAGACCTGTTCCTACTAGAAGGAAACTCACCTCGTAAGGCTGACTACTGAAATGCTGATCGGGAACTGGCTGACTACTGCTCCGACAACTCCCCGGCTATAATTTCCATAAAGACACTTAGTCATACACACTGATACTAATCTTAGGGTAAAGTGACTATTTTACCCCTGGCCAAAGTCATCATCCTAGTCAAAGTCAACTGCCAATTGATCTGATTCGCCGAGTTGGGACGCCAACTCGCCGATTCCCTATCCTTTCTTCTATTCCCCAACCCAACTCTACTCATCGAGTTTAGCAAAGACTCGGCGAGTTCTCCTTCTATAATAACATCGAGTCAACCTTCATCTGACTCGCCGAGTTGTATGAAAAACTTGTTGAGTCCTCCTTCATCATATGAACACTTCCAGTCTACGACTCGCCGAGTTGTATGAACAACTCATCAAGTCTGTTCTTGTGGGTAAGAAGATTGCCTTGGACTCGCCGAGTGTGTTCTTACACTCGTCGAGTACCATGGTTTCCAGATTATGGCTAAATCTTAAAACGTCGAAACACTCCTTGGGACCTTTCAAACCTATGCTAACACTCAACTAGGCTCCTTTGAACCACAACAGATTGGGGACTCAAGCCCCAGACTCGCCGAATTCCAAGAACAACTCGTCGAATCGCCTATTGTCCAAGTTTATAACTCGATTTCTGATGTACAACTCTCATCCAAAAGGTAGATCTGGGCTTCTAAGGTTGATCTAAAACGTAAAGTTATGAACTTTACGTGCATGCATGGAAGTATAAGCTTAAAGGACCCAAAAAAAGGTCAAAAGAAGTGCATGGGCTAATATGGCCATAGAGCTTGCATATTTATGCCATGAACTTGGTTCTAGAGTCTAGATCCGAAGGTGAATCGACTTGGGACGTCTAAGTCTTAAGGATCAAGCTTATTGACCCCAAAACTCCATAAAGGGGCAAAGGAGAAAATCTATAAAACCACAAGTCAAGTTTTGAGCCTGATTACCTGAAAGTGAAGAGAAACTGATGTTGCTCCTGGATCTAGTCCTTCTCCCTTGATCCTTCTTCCAACTCTTCTACTAGATACACAATGCACCAAAAACCCTCTAAGTCACTAAGAAAGCTCAAGATTGCCAAAAGAGAATTAGGGTTTCGAAAGTAATGCTCTGAAGGTGATGGAGGCTGGACCTGAAGCTCATAATGTTTTTTAAACAGGGTGCAAACGCTTTAATTAGGGTTTCATCCGATGTAGTATTGTGAAATTCATCATTATTTACCGTATAATAAATTCTCTAGTATTGTGAAAGAACACCTATATATATATATATACATATATAATATATATATATATATATATATATATATATATATATATATATATATATATATATATATATATATATAATGGTTGACAAAAGAAAACATGGGTTTTGATGTCCTGAAGCCTTGTTTGGACTATGAAGATGTTTCCTATTATTTAATTTTCTTACATATATAAGAAGAAATACGGCGAGTCAAAATATATACAGTTCTTCCCGAAACAAATGCTCATTATGTGTACAAGATTGTAGAGTGATCAACCATGCACCAAAAAAAAAAAAAATCCAAATTCATAGTGGACGCGCACATTAGCAAACAGCCTAACTGAAAATATCCCATTAGAAGTGTTTGAGAGTACATGATCAAGACACCTAGTGCACAAGGGTGCTTATTGTAATTATATTTAGGAAACAAGATACGATCTTAAAACACAAAGCAATTATACGAGTTGAACATCAAAACAGGATAACACAACAATTTCACAAACACATCTCTCAGGCTTCTTTATTTTGACAAGGTTATCACGTCGAACACCATGTATGCAGGCTGCAAATACTAATAGGGATGAAGAATGACACTGAAAGAGTCGAGGTAATCCCCGTAGTTTCCGCTGAATCCACCAAAGCTACCCTTAGCGACTGGAAGCGAGAAACTAGTCCCCTGGGTTGTGCCATATGGCCCATACTTCTTTTTGTTGGTTAGGAAAGACAATGACGTAATCACAGTGTAGCCGGCATATACTCCCACAGTTCCGGTAATCCCGATGAGATTCTCATCATCAGCAAATGTAAACTGAAGATAAACCCGAATAGATGATAAATGATGTATGATAAAACTAGAATACAAGTGCAGTACATGTTTAGGTAACAGATGTAATGAAAGCTCACTATATATACCGTATGAGGTGAACCACCATCACCACCATATGTTTCAGAATGGTGTTTGACATTATCACGATCCTTGTAAGTGAACCTGATTGAATCTACACAGCCTGAGGCACTGATACGGATCTCGCAAATTCTGCCATCAGGGATGAATGTCCAGGGATTAACTCCACCCTTACCTCCCCACGGTCCAACCTGTACGCCATTGCCTGCCTGCAGCATATAGGGCCGAAATAAAATATAACTAAAAAGTGGAGAAATCTTAGCAATCAACAGATGAAGTACACCAGGTTAACCATAAACCCAGCCTTCTCAAATACAGATGGTGAAAGAGTATACCATTTCTGATCTGAATGTATTTTCAAAGGAAAAGATGAAAGTTGTGGAAAGTAATAAATTGTACATATAGTCCCATGCATTAAGAGAATGACTATTTATAGACATGATCAGGTAGCGGTTTTAAAGTTAAATGGGGTAAGATAAAATGTCTGGTCTTCATGTAATCAAAAAACAAAAGTTTAAATTAATTTACCATGATTGGTAAATGTAATTATCTAGTAAAAGATAGTGGTAGAAGATGTTCGGTTGTAGTAATTTAAGGATGATTATTAGTTTCACATGTCAATGTACGGTATTAACTTTTTTAGCATATGTTAGGTAGCAATTCAACAAGATGACATAGATGCTTCTGTCATCAATTTTTCAAACGCTTCCAACAGAGACATTTATTCTAACAACCAGGTTTTTGAACACATGTTTGGAGGTTTTTGAGCACATGTGTGGGATCTTTCTATTTCAATTTTGTACCAATTTTCAGTTGGGCCGGCAAAAATGGTTTATAGAACCGGGTTTTTATTTAGGCAAGGCTGTAGGCTTATATGAAAATTGTGATAGAACCCGGTTAACGAACCGGATCATATAACTAATTAAAAAAAAGCGGTGTCTTATAAGGTTTGTAAAATACGACTTCTTTTATAAACAACCGGGACCTATAATATTTAGAAAACCAGGTTCATTTACATATATCAAGCCATGTTCCGTCGCAGGTACATGGTCATGATCCTTTGAGGTACAAACTATAAATATATATACTAGCTAGTTTCAAGATAATCAACCACACCGAGTACTGTGTTTGCTGAATTAACAAAAAACACAAACAATGTACAATAAGAATTGTTGTAAGTTTGCACATGCTAAATAACCAACCATAATAGACATAGATAAAAATAAATATCAAAGAAATAACATATTCGTGCCAAAAAAAATTGTTATTTTGGAAATTTTCACTACATAACACTTGGATAAAAGTTACAGGAAAAAATCCATGATCCTATTGTCGATGTATTGTCCCAAAGATCGAGTATAGCAGTTGTATCCTTTATCCTTTGTTGTCACTAAAAACAAACACAATTTCCATCTTTATATGATACTTCAATTTAAACAATTTCAAGAACATGGTACTCTTCTACTACATGTAATTAAATCATAATGGAATGTTAAAGCGATGTCAAATGATATGAAAATGGTTGTCAAGGTGGTGGATGCAAAGCAAGCAAAATATCAACAAACAATCATTAAACTAAAATAGTAGGATGTTGGAAATATAAATAGCTCACAATACACGCATTTTTAGAAGACCATGTCAACGATATAGTTATTCAGAAACACTCTATCCACATAGCAACAATTGAAACCCACATATTTTTCTTAAAATCATTGTTGTCATTCCAAAGGTTACTAGTCTATATGAAAATTAAAATTAAAATTATTGGTAGACAAAACAGAGAGCTAATTGCAATAAGACAATGAAAATATATTTAAAAAGTACTTACTCTACATGTGAATCCAAATTTTCTGGTCATCACAAAATCAAACATCCTTCACATTTAGTAGTGCACACTCTTTGAAATGTAGATTTGTTTGCTTTACTAAAATTGTAATATAAACTGAACATTAATTAGATAAAGGAAACTACAATATCTATTTGTTTGGAAATATAATGAGATTGTTACAACTAGCATTTTTAGCTAAGAAATTTTATTCTCATGTAAACATCATCCATTGTAAGGATTGTACTCTAAATGAATATCATACTCTATGTTCACTCAATATATTGTTGGATTAATGTCTATGCCCATAACTATTTTGGTATGTACTTGACTCGATTATGAGCATGGTCCTTTTGGGTTGCCTTCACCATATTAATATGTAGGAAGAATCAAGGAGAGAAAGGTTTAATTATGATTTATTAATATATTATGAGGATAATATATTAAAGGAGAAATCATATTGTTTAATTAATATTAGTCAAGAATTAAGTTGTTGCTAAAAGAGATTAATTAAACTTAGGGGACTGGAACTGTAATTATAAGATAATTGCAATTGGGCTATGGATCACCTTAGAATAATAGGTTGGACGAATTCTATCGGGGAGCCCATTAGAAATCCTCCAAGGCATGTTCCAGAAGGGGTCAATGGGTTGCTTAGGGCTTAAGCAGTCAAATTAGGGTTTCTTTGTTTGATAACCCTAATAGTGTCACACCCCGAACCAGACGGCGGAAACGTCCGAGGGCTGTTGTGACTCAATTGAATACCATTACATTGAATATACATGAAACATAACATCAATCATTACCATGCATTGAGATAGTACAACTAATAGAGTTTACACTTAGTACATTGTTTCAAACATTACATCCCCAAAAGTAAATTGTTCGATAATAGTTAAACAAACAACAAGTCGTCACTAATTACATTTTTCCCTTGGTTTACCTGTTACCTAAGAATACAAGCGTTTTGAAAAACGTCAACATATGAAATGTTGGTGAGTTCATAAGTAATGTTTGAAATAAAACGTTTTGAATTGTTTTGAAAACCACCAGAAAATCCGATATTTTCTGAAAAGAGTATCGTATAAAAAGTGTGAAGATCCGTAAGTATGCTTGTTTGTTTCTATATATAAAAAAATTTGGTTGTACTTGGTATGCATCTCGTAGTTGTATATATTGAAAAACCCTAGGAAAACCCGATGTTTTCCTAATTCTCTGAAATACGCTTTTTGTGTGGTGTTGTATCGTTGCGACATGTGAAGTCAATGATTCCATGTGACATTGAATTAAATGTGCATTGTGAATTGTTATAAACACACGTTAATAGAAACGACTAGTTTACAACCATACTAACGATCCCTTAGACGTCGTCCGTACTATTCACTTAATCCAACCACCCTGACTTCTTGTAGCCCCTAACCGAGAAGAAAAGAGGGCACGAAGACCTCAATAATTCCATAAGTCGTTCAAGGCTATAGTGAATGCGAAGGGCCCTTGGCCTGTCCCGCATTTTTGAAAATTCTCGACTTTACTAGCTGTACCAAAGGACCCTTGGGGCCCAATAGTCTAGAAGCCATTCAAAGTCCTTTTACATGGAGTTAGGTCATGTAAGGCCAACAATCATGTAAGTAAGTTGTCTTCGGGCCTAAAGATCAGGTCATTGGGCTAGCTAGGCCCAACAAGCAAGATTTGACACTTTTGGGCCCAAAGATGGTGTATCGACGTCTGTGTATTCCCACGCATGTATTTACTTCCCAAAATTTCCGCGTATGTATTGAATATCATCGTGTTAGTAGTTTCGGATTCGCTATTGATTCGAGACCGCATCAATTCGTTTAGTCGGTGTTGATGGTGTATTAGGTTTTTGTCGGTAGTGGCGGTATCAGTGTTTTATCTCAACGGATTTATTGTTTAACTTTGGAGTTTTTCTGTTTGCAGCCCCTTTCTTTTATGAGTTTACACTTTTAACCCTTTAAATAAAAGAATTTCCAATTTAGTCCTTAGACCATTTTTCTTAACATTTTAATATCAAAACTTGTTAAAAATGGTATTTTTCAGCTCATATTTATTTAAAAACAGCTTTAGTCCCTTAAAATGAAGTTTTCTCGGTTAAATCCTCATTTTTCGCAACTTTTACACTTTTGGCCCAAAATATAATTTTTTTTTTTGCATCTTTAGTCATTTTTAAATATGAAAAGTGTTTTTAACCCTTGAAATGGACTTGGAGCACTAGTAGTCCCCTGTGTTACAGAAAAATACATTTTCAGCCCTTCAAATTTGAAAATCTCGCATATTGGGCCTTATTGGGCCGAAAATCCATTTTTTGGCCCATTATGCTTAATATTTTGCATTTTAACCCCTCAAAAGAATATATTTCCAGAAAATACCTTATTGAAACTGTTTTGGCATATTTCAACCATTAGAATTGCTAGTTTGTCATTTTGGGCCCTTATGTTTTATATTTTTGACATTTTGAGTCCAAAAATGGGTTTTTGGCCCAAAGAAGTTCATATTAACCATCTTGGTTATTTTTCTAGAAATGATTTATATGTATTAATATAATTTATTCTAATATCATATAACTTGATGCAAATCTTGGTTTTAAGGGCTTTTTGACTAGATCCAACATCACAATCACATAAAAACACAAATATAAACATAGAAATCACACAAAGCATACATATACACATAGATCTACACATTTTCTTGTATCCCCCCCCCACCATAAAACTTGTAAAACCAAAAAGTAGGGAGTATGAAGCTCACCTTTGGGTGTGGTTTCGGTTTTGGAGAAGAGATGGAAGAAAATGAGATGATTTTCGGCCTAAGCAACCTTACCTTGGAAGATCACGAGTTTGGGAGCTTCTAAGGTGCAAGATCATGATTTCTTATGAGTTAAGAAGAGATGTTTGATAAATCAAGGAACTTAGATCGTAGATTTACTTATAAACTTACCTTAGATGATGATTCTTGTGGAAAATCTCTTTGGAATGCTCTTAAGTCTCGAAAATTTGGTGAAGAGAGGTGAGGGTGTTCCTTGAGGAGTTTGATAAACAAAAGTGATTGAAGTGTGTGTGTGTGGTGAACTCTCGGCCGAGAACAAGGAGAAGAAGAGAGAGGGAGTTGAGGTGACACTTCTAGATGCATGTTGGTCCATGC